ATTGTAGTGGGCGAATTGTTGCAAATAAATCATCGTGAATTTTAACTTGGTGTGCGATCTAAATGCACCATTAGATTCTCAGTCGGTCTCTTAATCATTGTCAGTGGAGCAGCTCCAGACGAGCACACTGTTTGTGTTCACGTATCGATTGACCTCCTGCAGGTGACAAAAATGAAGTCTTGGAATAGTTTTCCTCTAAAAAGACTCTAATGTTTATTATATTTTTGCTTCGGTGTTTGACCCAGCAGCAATCATTGTTGCTTTCACTTTTTTTTTTTGTTATTGTTGTTTGTTTTTTTCTTTTTTTTTTTTCAAATCAGGGTACCTCAGTGCTGCACAGGTGATTTGTAAACAGAGGTGGAGGATTACCTCTCTCCTGGCCCTGTCTGTGAGCTGATAGCAGATGGTATGTTTGAGCTCGGGGAGAGTTGGGCTTTGATGAGAGACAACGGCATCAAAGCCACCATTAAACACTCTCTCTAATCTGGAGCCACAATGTACAAGAGGCTCTTAACAGTAGTGGGACTCTGGGAGACGCCACTCGAAGCGCAGTCAGAGGACAGGAGAAAGAGTCAGATAAAGTGGCGTTGTGAACGTACTTGTGTAGTTCATCGACGTTTTATGGGTGACAGGAGGTTTGTGACATGGCTCTGTGTTAACATCTTCCCACGATTTGTTTGTTCTACCTCAGGGATCATTTCAACGTTCCTGCACGTCCACCCGTTTGGAGCCAGCATCGAGTACATCTGTTCATACCTGCAGCGTTTGGACACCAAGGTAACAGACTCACACGAATCAAAACTTCTTCTGTGGATTATATGCAGCTGTACTGGCAGCGTGTCTCTTTCCTGTATAGCACTGATGTATGTGGCCCTGCTGTGCCATCAACACAAGCTGTATTGCTTTTAGAGCAATTTGACAATACAAATATTTGTTTTCTCCCCAAGAGATCGGTGAGAGGAATGATAACACGTGTCTGTCCAAACAGATTTCCACAGCGCTGTGTTTTAGCCCACTCTGGTATTTAGCAACATTTCTTTTGTCTTTGACTTGAACTGAGAGCTTGTTGTTTTAACATATATGGGTTTTTTTTCATTAGCCATGTAAATGCTTCCCTGTAAGTTCAAATTTGTAGATTTAGATGTTGTAAGACACCTGGGTCACGTGAGTGGCTTCCTATATCCGCTGGGCTCCTCTTGTCATTTAAAGGTTTGCTGGTGTTTTCCAGCAGTGACGACATGTTCACACCAACACATCTAAAAACTAATTTCCACACTGCTCATTCTTCTTTTCCTTCTAAATGCGTACAGCTTGATATTTATTATTATTA